AACCCTTAAACCCTAAACCCCCGAACCCATAAACGCTACACGCAAAATCACCAACTCGAAGTTCAGCATAGCTCCATATGCCACCCATGGCCAGACTTGCCGAGACCCTGCACAACCCTGTAATTGAGGAAGATGCCTTTCATAAAACCGGGGTTCTTACGATTATTTAAGGTATATGTTCCTTCATGATGGGAAGGTCGTGAGACGTCTGTTAAGCCCCATGCCATAGCCTGCTTTGGTTTCAGAATGCTTCTGGAGGGTGAGTGTAACGACATGTAACTCGTAAGTATCAGTGTGGGTATGCTTGGTCTGGTTCTTGCTACTCTGTGTGTACTCAAACTTTCCTAAGTACCTATACAGTAGAATGTAGGGGTTCTATATTAGGAATAAGTATTATGATTTGGGAAAGTATCCCCCATAACAGTACCTAGGACCCTTTGAGATATTGTAGAGGTTGCTTGCCAAGCGCTAAACCGCACGCCAGCGAACCTCGTCGGAGGCAGCGGCAGAAGCCAAAGGCCAATCAAGAGGTGTTTGACCTGTGGTCGACTCCCACCAAGGCCACTTTGGAGAGTTTGGGTTTTGGGGTTTGGCTGGGCTTTGAGCTAGGGCTAACGGTTTTGGCATGGGGTGTTTCGGAATATGCAGGCTTTCGATTGTCTGTAGAAACTCCAGTGCATGGGTGTCCGGTCCATGGTTTACCGTAGGGCTACATTCCAGCTTTGACGAGTTTCAGCCTGTGGCAGCAGCAGACAGCAGCAGGCAGCAGTAGCAGCAGTCGTAGGGGCCAAAATCCCAAGCATTCCGACAGGCCGAACAATGGAACGCCGAGCGCGCCGATGAGGAGGAGCATGTCGCAGTGTGGGGTTTGTAGTCTTAGTGTGGCGTGGTGTTCGTGAGGTTACATAGGGTTTTATGAGGTGAGGGACGATCGAAAAACGCCATCAGGTCTTCGGGGAAGCCCCCGCCTAAAGTTGAGAAGGAAGCCAGGGCCATGTAAAACGATGGCTAGTTAGAGTGATAGAACATCGGTGTGAGAATGCTGTAGGGATCTGAGCCGCCTGAATCCGTTTAGGAGATATCTGCGAGGGATCTGAACCCTAAACCCTAAACCGCTTGTTCCGGCAGTTACGGCAATGTGCAGTAGGGATCTGTGTCGCCCAGACCTTCCAAAAATCCCTGGATTAAGGGATATAGGGGCCTCAATAATGACCTACATTTTTTTTTGTTTTTTTTTGGGGGGGTTCCTTATTATAATTCTCCTATAAAGGACCCCGCAAAACCATATTCTAAGTACTATCGCCCCTACATTACCTTGAGTCATATTGGGGGTCTGCCATGACTTGGGGTGTGTTGTTATGTTCCTTGGTTGGGGGATTTTGGAAAGTCTGGGTGCCTCAGGTAGTTTACCCTAAGGGTCCATGTACCTAAATAGTAGAACATTGGCCCTAAAGTACCCATATAGGGACTACATTAAGGCCAAAGTATGTACTATTTGGGTACATGGACTCTATAGGGTCCTAAACCCGAAACCCTAAACCCCTAAACCCTAAACCCTAAACCGGGTAGTTTAGGTCGTGTCTGGTAGGGGGTGGGCTGCGGAAGGCGTCGTGACCGTTGCAGGCGCGACGAGCGAGAGAGCAGCTAAGAGGAAAGACGGTTTGGGGTTTAGGGTTTAGGGTTTAGGGTTTAGGGGTTTAGGGGTTTAGGGTTTAGGGTTTTAGGGTTTAGGGTTTAGGGTGCAGCCGAAGAGGCCATCATGCGGCTGCATGCTGAGATGCGAACTTCAACTACACAGTTGACAGTCGGGGCAAGACGGTGTTTTACCCCAGCACTTGATCAGGTTGATGATCAAGGAAACCCAAAGTTTGGCTCCAAAGGCGACTTCCGCAAATGGCACAAATCCAATCGACGCAGTGTGCGGAAAGAGTACTGCACACACTTGCAGAACAAAGAGAAAAGCGGAAGCGTTCATGGCGGCAGCGTGGGCGTCCTCGTGGTAGAGCATTTACCCTAAGCCCCAAACCCTAAACCCTAAGCCCTAAACCCCAAACCCTAAATTTGACCTGTGACTTTCTTGGGGTATGACATTCCCTGCGCGATCACCATGGTTGGCCTTAGTAGTTAACCTGGGAAGCTGGGGGGATTGGGCTGGGTTCTTGTTAAGGAATATGTAAATCTAAGTTACCATAATAGGGATCTATAGTACATTAATATATCTCTTTATTACTGCAACTTAAGGTCAAAATCCTAAACCCTAAGCCCTAATCCCTAAACCCTCAAACCCCAAACCGCCGTGAAACCCAAAGCAACCTGGAAAGTCTGGTGCCTATAGGGCTGGGTTTAGGGTTCGGGGTTCAGGGTTTAGGGTTCATAGGGTTTAGGGTTGGGGTTTATTCCACCTTGGGGATCCGGTTTCTTGGGGTGAGACTTCAAGACCGAGGATCTACAAGAGTCCAGGGAAACCCGAAACCTTTGCCACTAGTGCTCTAGTAGAAGAGGAGGGTACTGCGCATGGCATGGCGCTATCCTCTACTACCACTGAACGTTATACATCATCAGTGCCTGAGTGTGGGATTCCTATTCTATATAGGGTTTAGGGTTTAGGGTTGAACCCTAAACCCTACACCGTTTAGTTGAGGAGTTTCGGGCTCTGAATTAACTAAGCTAACTGGACTCCTGTATCTCGACGCGCTGAAGCCCTACACCCTCAAGCCCTAGACTCCTCTTCCGCTAAGGAACCTGTTATAGGGGCCTGAATAATTACCTATACTATTTTTTTTTTGGGCGGGGGAGGTTCCTTGTTACACTTATACGACAAAGGAGCCCCAAAACCCGTTCTATTTTCTAAGGCCCCTATGTTAAGCCCTCTTATGTCAAAGACCCAACCCCCCCATCTCTTTTGCCAGGTTGGTGTAACCCTAAACCCTAAACTAAACCCTAAACCCTAAACTAATCCTTTATAATAAACCCTAAACCCTAAACCCCCATCTTTTTCTGCCAGGTGGGTGCTTTCCGGGTGCGGAAGCAGCCGAAGCCTACACCGATCCACACCCCGCGCACACTGCACCAGAAGGCGCCTCAAGGGTTTTCCCGGGGTTTAGGGTTTTAGGGTTTAGGGTTTAGGGTTGCGGGTTTTAGGGTTTAGGGTTTAGGGTTGAGGGTTTAGGGTTTTAGGGCTTATGGTTTCAGGGTTTAGGCTTTAGGGCTTTAGGGTTTAGGGTTTAGGGTTTCAGGTTTCAGGTTTCAGGGTTTAGTGGAAAACTTACAATCTAAACCACCCTCGCGCCAAAAAAAGCTAAGCCCTCGCACCTAAACCCTAAACCCTTATCAATGGGTCCAGCAAAAAAGACCGACTTGAACCCTAAACCCTAATGCCTAATGCTTGAATGACCCAGCATTCCATGTCTTCCGCTCGTTTTTAATTTTGAAATGCGCTACATCATGTCCAAATTCGATAGCACTGAGTGTATATGGAGCCCTCAAATCCGGGTGGTACAGTGTTTCAGGTTCTCAGGCTGTCCAGACAAGGCGCTTTTGAACTTGATGGGGCTCGGGGTTCTGTCTCATGACGGGATTTATGGGTTCTGGCTCTATAGTGTCAGGGCGTCGATGTAGAGCCGCTCGTTTCTATGGGGTTACAGCCGTGAGATCCTATAAGCTTCACACTTCGAGTTTAGGTCCGTGTGTTTCCGTAGGGGGTTTTCTCGTTTTTGATTGTTAGGCCTTGCTGTTTAGTCCCTCTGACTTGTGAGTTTGGGCGTTGGTGATTACTTAAACCACCAGAAGTAGGTAAATTACTGGCCCAAGACCCATAAACGGCTATCATTCTACATGCTTTGGGGGTCCAGGTAATGGCCTCTCACAATAATTATTTGGGCTTGGCCCAATATCCGATACTTCAACCGAGCCCCAGTTGCAACCCTAAGCTCTAATCCTCAAATTGAAGCTGAGTTGCAAGCTCGGTGCATTCCGGAGATCAAAGCGAGTTTTCGAGGCTGATATGACCCTGGTTTCGGGTTCAGGTTTGGGTTTCCGTACACCCCCAAGGTTTCCCTCAACCCTAAACCCTCAAACCATAAACCCCCTAAGCCCTAAACCCTCAACCCTAAACCCTCAACCCTAAACCCTCAAACCCTAAACCCTCAACCCTAAACCCTAAACCCTCAACCCTGTTTCCCTAAACCCCAAACCCTTAAACCCTAAACCCTAAACCCTGTTTCCCTTAACCCTGTTTCCCTAAACCCGAAACCCTCAAACATCCTCAAACCATAAACCGTTCTACCCAGTTTTCGGTGCAAGGCGAGCCGTGCTCCGGCTGTCGTACCAGCCCACGAGGCCCTTCAGGAACAGGGTTTAGGGTTTAGGGTTTAGGGTTTAGGGTTTAGGGTTTAGGGTTTAGGGTTTAGGGTTTAGGGTTTAGGGTTTCAGGTGAGGGTTGAAGGCTTAGGGTTTTAGGGTTTAGGAGGGTTTAGGGTTTAGGGTTTCGCCTTCGGTTCTGCATGAGTAACACAGACGCTGGAATACTGAGAAGGATTCTTCCTTAGGGCTCCGTTTTACAATGGCCTAAACCCCAAACCCTAGGGGTTTATAGGTTTTAGGGTTTAGGGTTTAGGGTTTAGGGTTTAGGGTTTAGGCAATGGTGGCATTAATTTAGCCCCCCTCAAATCCCAATTCTACTTGCTCAGGCTCCCTGTATTATGTCTGGGCTTTAGGGTGTACTGTGACTTTCTTATTTTACCAGGGCTTGACTGGGCTTTAGCATTGTTCGAACACGCTTTCTTGCTGGCCGGACGTGAGGAGTGTGCTCAGTCAGAAAACAGCTTAACCAAACCCGAAACCTGCCTCGAGTAGAAGCCCAAAAGTTGCCTCAATCCTTAAGAGTAATTTCTAGGGAGTCCCAGCAAAGTTGTTGTCCTTTATCCGGTTTCCAACTTATTGGGGTTTACTATAACCCTAAACCCTAAACCCCTAAACCCGAGTCCGGCTTAAACCCTAAACCCGAAAGAGTCGAACCCAACTTTAAAA